GGTCAGCTGATATTCCTTGGAAACAGGAAGATCGTTTATTACATTATAAGTCTAAATTTAAAAGACAAAAGAAATTTAATAAAAGCAAATACGATACTTCCAGGCCCGACAAAGAAATGTAGACGGTTGCCGATACTTCCAATTCTGCTATTATGCATGATCCCAATGATTCATATGGTCCAGGGAAGTAATATAGAAGTAAACCCGATAAGTGCCAGAAATGGATATTTGGTCTTTTAGACAGGAAACATGGACATCCCGGTAAATTACGAGTATCATTATTTAAGTATAAACCTGACGAGGACTATGCTAATATTCGATAACCTATTAGAAGAAGCGATAGAGTTTCCTATTGTATATGCAGGAAAGGATACAGTATTTAATTGAAAAATTAAAGAGGGAAATTAACGGTTTAACAATTATTAGGCGGAACAAACGAGGTCTCTTAATATAGTAGGTACGGCGTACAAGTATTTATTCGGCACATAAGACCAGAATGACAAGGACGAGCTACAAGAACGTATTAATAATTTGTCAGAAAATTCGGCCCAAAATCATGATCTGAATATGATCATTAAGGTTATAAACAGCGGCATTGACATTATTAACAAGCTCAAGGAAGATAAAGAGAAAGATCAACATTTAGCAATCCTAATGTTCAATATTCAACAGTTCACGGAATATATTGAACATGCAAAACTGGGCATGCAGTCCACGAGATTAGGTATTTTTAATCCAAAATTACTTAAACACAATTATTTAAAGCAAGTAAATTCCGAGAAAATCCTAAAAATTAAAACAACAACCTGGCTGAAAACCGACACAAATGAAATTCCGATTATTTCTCACATTCCCAATGAAATTACGAAGGTGCCTGTGTTCGAAATTATCCCATATCCCGATGAACATAAGTATATCCTGACGGAACACATGTTTGATAAGTTTTATATTAACGAGGATAAGATTCACAATAAACATACAGGGCAAATCGTTTTCGATAAATGCATCATAGGTATTAAACAGGAAACAACTGAATGCAAATATACCAAAACGCAGAAAAACTTCCAACTAAATTATATTGAACCGAACATTTTAATCACATGGAATCTCCCACAAACCATTGTAAACCAAGATTGTACAAATAGTCAGGTATAAATAACAGGCAATATCATGATTAAAATCAGAAAATCTACTATCCGAATTGACGAATTTATTATTTTCAATAGTTTTGCAGATTTTACGCAGACAATTTATATAAATAACAACGTTACCAAGATAGAACCGCTAGTCTACTTAGAAACAAAAGAATTAATAAATGGCCACGTAAAATACTACACTACACTTCAAATTATCTGCCTGACAACATTTGTAATCACAATAGCCTGTTTAATCCTGTATTTAGTTTATAAGTTTAAAAATATACCTAAGAAACTCATTGTAAAATATACTAAACCTGAAGAAACAAATTTAAGTACCTGAGGACAGGCAACATTCAAAGATTGGGGAGTGACATACCCATAGTCCCACGGACTCTGACTAAGCCTACTTATTTCACATACATAAGTCCGTACACAAACACACATTATTGTAATACCCTGTAAACACAACCACACTTGCCCAATACACCCTTTACCTCCCATAGTTTATCCAGTACACACCAGATAGCAACCAGACGGCTACATGAATCCCAAAGCCAAGGCCAGTGGAATAAACCCTAGTGGAATAAGCCCAGGCTCCACAAAGGATGCAATCTGAAACTCCAGACAGTCCCTCCAAGTAGACTAAACATTTATGACTTAAGCCATCACCCAATTGTCACGTTTCCACGTTCAAAGTTTGGACTCGCCAAGTCGAAAACAAAAATATTAGATTTCGATAACAAGATCGTAAAATCAAAATAGCACTTGTATCCAGGTAGCTAGGTAAAAGTGGTGAGGCCGCCCTGGCCGCCTCCAATTAGAACTGAGCTCCGTTTTGGTCCACACCCTCGATTTGCTGTTGTCTGCGCCCTTCTTTGTACCAGCCCGTGTCATTCAGGTAAGCTAGGATGGCCGCTACTGGCTGCCTTAAAACTTCCCCTAGTGACTCGAGTTGGTGTGCTCCGAAGTGTCGGGCTCTTTGTTTGTTGAGTGCCGGGCAGTGGCACAACAGATGCTTTGGTGTCTCCTGCTCGCTTGGTTCCTTGCAGCTTCTGCATTGTGGGTTGTAGGGTAGACCCATCTTACAAGCTTGCGTGCCTATTGACCAGTGGTGTCCTGATGTCCTTTTTGCTCTTGGAGATTAGTTCTGCGGTTCCCTTCCTATTGAATTCTGGCCAGCATAGTTTCGATCTTCTGTGCTCTGCCTTCGTCGACCATTCCTTGCTGGCTAATTGTTTGAAATGGTCATGAATTTCCGTCTGGACTGAGTTCAGGGAGATCTGTATGTCTGTTGTTGCTGAGTGTTTTTCTGACCCTTTTCTGGCCAGCTCGTCTGCTTTCTCGTTTCCGTCTATGTCATTGTGTCCGGGTATCCAGGCTATTTGTACCCTGTTGTCTTCTGCAAGTCTGTTTAGTGCCCCTTTACATTTGGCCACTAGTTTTGAAGTCGTCCGTGCTTGTGCGAGGGATTTGATCGCCGCCTGGCTATCTGAGTATTTCCTCACCTTGGTATTCAGGAGGCCTCGGTCTAGCGAAAGTTCGGCAGCTTTCAGTATCGCGAGAACCTCCGCCTGGAAAACCGTCGCTGACTCTGGGAGGTGGAAGTATTTCTCCACCTTCCAGCTCTCGGCGTAGATTCCGGCCCCTACTCCGCCGCTCATCTTTGAGCCGTCGGTGTAGAGTGATACTTCATCCGGTTCGGTTACTCTCCCTCTCTTCCAGTCTTACCTTGTAGGGTATATAGTGGTGTATGTGTTACCGAATCGCAGTTCGGTTGTCATGTAGTCTATGTCTACTGTCGTCCGATAGTTTATCTCGTTCAGAATCCTGCAGTGCCCGGTGTGGGTCGAACAACCGCTGTGTAAAGCCATTTTATTATCCTGGGGTGGATGCCCCAGTTCTTTCCGAACATCTTCCTGCAGGAATAGAATGCTATGCTTGCTTTCTTGACTCTCTCGTTGATGTTTTGTTTCCATGACAGTTTCGCATCCAGTATCACTTCCAGATACTTTGCCTGCTGTGATATCTCTAGTTCTATGCCATCTATCTTAAGCTTTGTGAAGCTGGGGACCTTAGTTCTCCTAGTGAAGAGCATTAGTTCCGTTTTACTTGGATTTATGCCCAATCCGCAGGCTTTTGCCCATGCATTGAGTTTCGTGAGTGCCCTTGTCATTAGTTCGCTGATGACGTCGGGGAATGGTCCTGAAGTGAGTAGGACTACGTCGTCTGCGTATGCTACCACTTTTACTCCTTCGCTATTTAGTGTTCTTAGTATGTCGTCTATGTTTATCAGCCAGAGCAGTGGGGACAGGACTCCCCCCTGAGGTGTGCCACTTGTGTGATGAGTGCCATTCAGTTCGGCTGTTATCCTCCTGCTCGTCAGCATTGCGCCAAACCATGCCCTGATTCCTCCTTCTACTCCTATACCGTTGAGGGAGCTCAGGATGGAATCCGCATTGACGTTATTAAAGGCTCCTTTTATGTTCAGGAAGGTGGCCATGGCGTAGTTTTTGAAAAGTAGAGCCTTTTCTATGTATCGCACTACCTCGTGTAGTGCTGTTTCAGTGGATCGGCCTTTCCTGTACGCATGTTGCTCATTGGAAAGGTTTTTCTCCGTTCTTTCTCTGATGTGGATATCAATGATCCGTTCCAGTGTTTTCATTAGAAAAGAGGTAAGGCTTATCGGCCTTTAATCCTTGGCTTGGATGTGTCCCCTTCTTCCTGGTTTTGGTATGAAGACTACCCTCGCTTCCTTCCATGGAAGTGGTATGTGTGCTGTTTTAATGCATGCCTGGAAGATTGCTTGCAGCCATTTTCCCGTGCTTGCTCTTGTTGTTTGTAGCATTGCTGGTATTACTCCGTCTGGACTCGGGCTTTTGTATTTGTCGAAGGAATCTATCGCCCAATGGATTCATTTCATGGTGATGATCTCTTCTACTTGTAACTGCTGGTCTGCCCCCTGGCTTTCCATTATTCTAGGTTCTTCTTTTTGGTTTCCTGGGAAGTGCGTATTCAGCAGGATTTCCAGTGACTCTTCAGCCGACGTACTTCCTGTCCCGTCGGGTTTGTTTATGAGCGTGGGGTTTGTGTGTCCTCTCGATAGGATTTTACTTAGCCTCGCCGTGTCTTTGACTCCTTCAAGCGATTCACAGTAGCTGCTCCAAGATTCCTTCTCGGCTACGTAGATTGCCCTTTTGTATTCTTTGTGTATTGCTTTGTACGGCTGCCAGTCTTTGGTTCCGTAGAGTATGTTAGTCTGCATGACTCTTTGTAGGCTTTGTTCAGAATATTTGTGAAGTCCTCCACTTCCTTATCTATTCTCTCCGGGGTAGATCGAGTCTTGATCCTTCTGTCCTTGACCTTTGACAATCTTTACTTGTATCCAAGAGCGAATACACTTGAATCCAAGAGAAGATTAATCATTAACTCCAAGCTCTCTCCCAATTCTCTTCAGAACTTTTAAAGTTTAAGTCAATATTTGAAAGCTCGAGAGGCTTGAACGTCAATCAATTCAGATCAATAAGATGAGTGCAGTTTGAGACTTGGAACTATTTGGTCGGTGTTCTTCACATAATTTATAAATAACTTGTAAAAACCTATATTAAGTTAAATAAAAATTGTATTTTTTTCAACTTATAAATATCCAAGTATTTAATTATATATATATATACTAGCAAGCCCGAGGAACTCAGTTTCGCCACCTTCGGCAAATTATCTATTTATATATATATATATATATATATATATATAAGTATATATGTATGTATTGCTCATTATTTTAAATATTAGTCATGGGTTTATTATTTTAACAACTCTTTGTTGAAAAATGTTTATTATAAAATAAAGATAAGACATTATTACCTGACCAATTTTATCCATTAATTTATATTGATTCAATTGAAGGAAACTTCCTGATTTTTCTATTGAAATCCTTCGAGACTCTCGAAAAGCTGGTCGGCGTCGGCTGGAACTAGGGCTGCCAAAGGGACTACCATATGGACTATATGGAACATTTGGATAGATGGGGCGACTTTCAATCGATTGATGCGTCGATGGAACAATTTTTTGAAGTGGAGAACACGAAATATCGTTAGGTAATTTTTTTAAAAACTCGTTATCCAAATTTAAGCATTGATCAAATTTTTTGGAAATATTTGATACACAGTCTGTTGACTTTTCAATGAACTCTTCGCTGTCATTCATTTTTAGTCCTTTCAATTAAAGCCTAACCTGTGGTTTTGAATATTTGGGTTTTGCTTATGATAAATTTCCGAAGGCAGATAAAATCTTTTTACATTATTAGTTGCCTCTTAGCAGTATGATCTCTTTAGGTAATATAATCTTATATTTTCTTAATCTTCCGAGTTCACAACCTTTTTGGATTTCAGTCAAATAAACGCTACCTTTGCCACACTTCTACTAGCTGTATAAATCTGCAAAGAAACAACATTATAATATTATTACTTTATTCAATTTAATATTACCCAGACCAGCATCAAATTAAATAAGGAGACACCTTGATTAGAATGTTTATTCAACCGCAGAAGAAAAGTAAAGTGAACGCGACGTACATGCGAATAGTCAAGGGACATAGAAGAAACACCAGATGGTCTCGTTACATTTCGCGATCTCTTTTCCGACGATTTGAGATTGCTGTTGCTTCATATATCTATAATGTACCCTTTAGTACCTATCCCCTAGGATTTCCCACCTATGTTCCTAGGACTAATATAGACTCCCCTCGAAATTCCTTAAAGGAATTTTCATACAACGATGTCGGGCTATATTTTTCATATAGCAGGGTTTACTGACAAGATTTCAAAACAAAATCGGCAAAGTATTTCACGGGATTTTCGAAGAAAAATTCGTGTAAATTTTTTAGGAATTCCACGCTGATTCTGCGAGGAAATCCTATCGAAAATCAAAGGAAAATTTCCAATTCCTAGTACAAATACGGATAAATTTATTTCTTATTCATTTGTTTATAAAATTTGACATTACCACTTTTTTAATATAATTATTTTTGACATTAGTGCCAAAAGTGCCTCCTTTGCGAAAGGTAATAAATTACATCATAACTATCAGGCCTGCTCTGGTTTTCACTTGTAAACTAATTTATAATTTTTGTTTAAAAAAAAAATAGCTCCTTTGGTTTTCACAAGATTCTTTTGGTTTTCAAAACGATCAGCTTTGTCTTGTCGAAATGAAAGTAAAATGGCTTTTTGTATATAAAATCTGATTTTATTTACAAACCGAAAAAATTGTTTACTCATTAGGCTATTGATGTAATTCCACATCATCACTAGACCAATCTGTCATGTATTTATTTTATAATCAATTGTTTTCAAACCCCACCTTGGATTTTGCATAATAACATTAGCCGCCACGACAACAACAATAATTTTCGTTTTGATTCTTAAGGTTGCCAGACCTTCTCTCATTAGTTTCTTAACGAACAACCGCATACCGTTGCATAATCTCGGATTGCATGTGAACGTGATGAATAAATCCGGGCGCCCGTAATTCCGGACATATGTCATCGCATCTTGAGGGTACTCATGCATATAGCGCGGGCTTCCAACATGAGGAGATGGAAGAATGGTCAAACAACCGATGTTGGCCGCGTGTCCTTCAGTAGCGATGGCGTCACGCAAGTGGATGTACTCGTCTGAGCGCAACTTCGACTGATTAAAACGAATGAAATAGAGAAGTTCCATTTCTTTTTTGACGTACATGTCGATACAGTACTGTTGAAACAAACGGCGGTATCTTAACAGATGATTGTCAATATCTAGTCGAATCATCAATCGATCAAACAACCGATGTTGGCCGCGTGTCCTTCAGTAGCGATGGCGTCACGCAAGTGGATGTACTCGTCTGAGCGCAACTTCGACTGATTAAAACGAATGAAATAGAGAAGTTCCATTTCTTTTTTGACGTACATGTCGACACAGTACTGTTGAAACAAACGGCGGTATCTTAACAGATGATTGTCAATATCTAGTCGAATCATCAATCGATACGCATAAAAATTCATAGAGCTGACTTTTTTATTCGTTTCTTCTCCTAAAATTTGAGTTCAAACTTAGTTGTAGAATCAAGAAGAAGTGATGACTTGTAAACAAACCTGTCGTTGGATTGACCATCTTTATGTTGATGTGATACCCATCTTCTCCACGACAGAACATTGACGGGTATTGAAGAGCATCATATAACCGATGAGTCTCATAAACTCGCTGCAATTTGCCATTATCCCGACGCTTAAGAACAATATCGCGTGATTCCACATTCTCACCAAAAATCACCACTGCGAATCCATTGATGGTGGGAGCTTTAAATTGTCTTGCATGGCTACCAGTGGGTCTTTTCTCAGCGCTGATAGTGATTGGCCTGGTTGATGAACAACCTCGGCTCCAAATGACATCATTTGAAAGCATCCGTTATATTTTTGTGCAAGCTTTATGAAACTGTTTGATTGGGCTGTATTTCCATATAGTAGCGAATACAATGGCTCTGGTGGATGAGCCAAAACGGGAAATTTAATTTTGCCACCTGCACAGCATAAGCCGGGGGTTTGCAATCGAAACTTCAGTGCATTGCAATGCTGACATACGACAGACAATGGACCAATAACATCGCAGCTATGATCTTTGTAGGGTGTTTCAGAATTGTATGCGAATGCAGCGCTATTCAAGTTATTCAGGCCTGCTCCGGTAATCGAAAACGGCAAGATTTTTTCGTTTTCGTTTTTGAAATCGAGAAATTGGTGCTCCGGTAATCGAAAACGAAAGATTTTTTCGATTTGAAAAACGGGCACCTTTTTCTGGCCGGAATGAAAAGTAAATGGCTTTTTTTATATGAAATCAGATCTTATTTACAAAAGGAAAAAAATAGTTTACTCAGTGGTCTATTGATGTTTATTCCACACCACCATAAGATCATTCTGGCAGGTAGTTATTTTATAAAAAATTTATTTCTGACCCCACCTCAGATTTGACAACAAAATTTTTGCCGTGTTCAACCAGTTTTCTCGTTTTGGCGATTGGTCGATAAGTTTACCGCAAAAAGTTATCGCCAAGGTTGCCATATTGTTGGTGGAACGAAACAGCCAGTTAAAAATATTTATGAAATATAAATGAATATATTAATAACTTTAAAGGACCGTCAAAATGGTTGTTTATAAATAATGCTATTTAATGTGATTACTTAAATGGTCCAAATTAACCAAATAATTATTTGAGACCACCGGAATTAAAACTGTGAAAAGTGTGGCAGCATCTTAGGTGCCTAGATTTGTTTAACTCTACCATTTTTTGCCTTTTTCTGGCTTATAAAAAGGGCAATTGTAAATATAATAGGCAGTACTTTACGTTGTTTGCTTATTACCAAAAACACAAGCTAGCTGCTTCTTGAGCAGTAAAAAACGATGAGAAAACGAAACACTCCGATAGCAGAAATTTGCCGAAAACCGGAGCAGCTAAAAACGAAAACGGTTCGTTTTCGCCCAAAACGAAATCGAAAAAATTTTACGATTGCCGGAGCAGGCCTGATTATTTGCGGTTTGTCTTCCTCTATTATTTTGTCGGGCTTGAGGTGGTCTTTGTGCAGCGCGAAGCTGGCCATTTGGCACGTGTCGATGCATTTATTTCTGTACGTTCCTCTTGCGTCCGACTATTACGGAAATTCTGACTACTTATTGAATTGCGTGAACGCTGTCCAAGTCTTGAGCGTCTAACAGCAGGCATTATTTCCAATTGTTTAAGCTTACTTTGGTAATGCTTCGTTAACTCGGTTTTTTGTTTAAATATTTAAATTAAAGCTTTTTTATCAATAATCACCATTATATACAGGGTGCGCCATCTTTTATGTCGGTATTTAAATATCGAATAACTTTGTCATTAGTGAACCAATTAACTTGAGTAGACCAGTGTAGAAAAGCTTACTTCAGCAGAATTTTAATCATGGATCGCTTTATTCCAAATGGTGTAATGAAATAGTGACGCTTTACATTGAATATACTCCTTCAGTTGTGTTTACTCAAAAAACTCAAAAAAGGCTAAACTGATCGGACCCAGATTTCCAGATTTTACACCTACGGACGTCTTCTTATGGATATATTTGTTTACGTCAGCAAGCCTCAAACCATAGACGAGATCATAGCTAATATTCGTGCAGAAATCATCGCTATACCACCTGAGATGCTAGAAAAAGTAATGAAAATGCAGCAAAAAGGGCACATCCAATAAAATTGGCCACTTGATTGATATTGTTTTCAACAAGAAAGGAAGCTAACTTCGGCACGCCGAAGTTTGTAATTCCTTGCAGATTGGTTTTGATGTTTATATTATACATTTAAATGCTGAAAACACTCACAAAACAGAGTTTCATTACATTTTACCTATACTTATTATGTTTACAGTTTGACAGTTACAGTTTTACATTCCCAGCTTTACATATTTTATACATTTACCGATCGCTTCTATGGCAGCTATAAGATATAGTTGTCCGATTTTTATGAAATTTATACCAAAATTCTACAATAATAAGTAAAGCTTATATCTCAAAGTAGATGAAAATACGTGGAAAAACAAGGAAAATATAATTTTTTATCGTTCCTATGACAGCTATAAGATATAGTCGTCCGATTTTCATAAAATTAAAACCGAAAGTCTGAAATAATATAAAATACCATATCTCAAAAATGTTGAAAAACAGCCAAGTTATAATTTTTTTTCTTAAAATTGATCGAACATTTGTATGGCACCTACATATATGATATAGTCTACCGATCTGGCCCGTTCCGACATATATATAGCAGTAAAAGTATATAGAAGACTACACGCAAAATATCATTCAGATAACTTTAAAACTGAGGGACTAGTTTGCGTAGAAATGGACAGACGAACGGACGGACGGACGGAAAGACGGACATGGCTAGATCGACTCGGCTATTGATGCTTGCAGGGTATTATAATTTCAGTCAGAAGTTTGCAACGCAGTGAAGGACACCTTTCCGACCCTATAAAGTATATATATTCTTGATCAGCATCTACAGCCGAGTCGATCTAGCCATGTCCGTCTGTCCCCCTGTCCGTTTCTACGCAAACTAGTCCCACAGTTTTAAAGCTATCTAAATGAAACTTTGCATATACTCTCACTGCTATATATGTCGGAACGGGCCGGATCGGACGACTATATCATAAAGCTGCCATACAAATGTTCAATAAATTTTTAGAAAAAAAAATTATAACTTGGCTGTTTTTCAAAATTTTTGGGATATGGCCATTTTTTATTATTTCAGAATTTTGGTAAAAATTTTATGAAAATCGGACAACTATATCATACAGCTGCCATATAAACGATCGGTAAATTTAGAGAAAATGTAAAGCTGGGAATGTAAAACTGTAACTGTCAAACTGTAAACATAATAAGT